GCATTCCCCCCATACAAAATACATAAATAGCCCACCTATGACACACATGATGACACTCTAAAGGCACACTGATGGCATGGTGGAAGGTGCTTGATGGCATGACAAAAGAATCACTTGTGACAAGACAGCCCCTTAGGCTTTGTACTGTTTGTGAGCTCTGATACCAGTTAATAGAACCCGATTGTAAGAGCACTTCGAGGCACTCAATCTTCCAAATATTAGGGTTGTGAATGGAGAAGGGAAGAGAGAGATTACAATTGCACGATGTATGAAATCATTTAAACATGTTGCCTTATATAGTGGGCTGGTCATGCTTCGCACATTTTGTTATTGCTCACGTAGTCTCCAGATGTAAACATAGTTGATGTGAGGGTTTTATCTTTTATGGTTCCTCTCCTTGGGCCCAAAGTCTCTGTAGTCTTATGGGACTGGGCCTACTTGTGAGCCGAACCATCACTTGCCTAGGTTGGAACTTCCGGGTAAGACCTATCAATCTCGGTCTCAATGAACTCGGAACTCTTGAAAGCAAAAAAAATTGAGATGTGTATGTAATTCATGGGAGAGATGTGTGACTGGATGCGCGTGCGCGTGCTTTTGAAGTCTTCACAGAGTTTGAAAGTTGTAAAAATGTATGTGTGTACGATTGGTCATTACCATTTATTGGAGTAACAATTAGTTGAACACAATAGATAGATGTTAAGCAGGCTGTGGAACCAATGATGATTTTCTATGTCATTAATAAAGATATATGAAGTCTACAATCATTTAATTTCTCACTATGACCCATATTTATTTTACTATTGATCCATAGTCCATTGAACAGTTATGGTTGAAACATCAATTTTGACGTCTTATGAAGAAAAGACAATTTTTATTAATCACAATGTTTTAAAAATCGACCTGGAATCGGCATTGTTTTAGCCATCGGTTTTCAGGTTAGTGGTTGGATCATTCGGTTTGAATGGATGGTTCATTCCAAATTAAAAAACTGGCCTAAAACATTGTCCAAGTCAAATGGGTTGGCGGTTTGACTTTTTGGGCCAGTGGGATGCTGACCAAGTCAGTAAAATCAATTGCCTAGACGGTTCCTAGACTGAATGGTTTGACTGTCCAAGTTAACAACAGTTTAAAAAACTTGTCAGGTAGCAAGGATCTCTCCACACAAATTTGTATTCATGAAATGAATCAATTCAAAATATAACAAGAATGCAACACGTTGTACCAAATGCCCCCAAAATTTGGAAAAAAAAATCAAATTGAACCACATACAAAGTCAACATCCAGTTTTATTTTGTTTTCTCAAACGGTTCCATATTTCTTATGATCATCAATTGCCAATTTTGAGGGCAGAAATATACTTGATACTTTGGTAGTACTTTGTGAATGTCGTTTAGATGGATGTTGGTGCCCTTGAGCCCTTCCCCTCCCTAAATATAAAGATGCGAGATAAGGTGTTTGATTGGTTGTCCCTTGGTATTGATGGTCAGACCGGTCGGTTTAGAAACCGGTTAAGGTACTGGTTCTATTTCAGCCTGAACAATTATTTTCTTAACCTGTTGAATTGGTCAATGACCTGCTGATTTGGGTGATTGAATTATGAATCTATTTGACCCCGATAATAGTTTTGGGTTAATTTTTATGATTTTTTTTAATTTTTTTAAGTATCACGGGTAATTCATTCAGACCAAATGATTAAACCACTAAACCAGAAATTGGTGGTCAAAGCAGTTCTAATATATACAGTTGATAAATACTGAGAGTTGAGGCATTTTAATAATTTTCATTCTAGGAAAAATCTATGGTATCGGAAAGACATGATAATGGAAAAGCTTTGATCAATCAAAACACTCTCGTGAATTTTGATTAATATCACCTGATTAGTCACCTCTTTTATGATACCACTTAATTGATTCTAAACGTTTTCGTATCATATTCAAACCCTTCATCCTAAGATATCCATCTATGAAATATCAAACCGAAAAAATAAGAAAAAGAGTATTGCACTATTGCTTGTTGAAATTGAAAATGTGGTACTGTACTGTATCGAGGTGTGAGATAGAATTTTCACCCAGTCCGTTGATATGGATTCCAGCCACTCGCATTTACTCGATTCATTAAGGCTAAGGAAAATGTGGGGAAAGGAAGAGAAAAATAGGGAAACCTATACAAGGCTTGTATTGGTTTCACTGAACCAAACATAGCCTAAAGGAATTGGATTAGTTCCATATAAGCTATACGATTAGTTGCCAAAGCATGAAATTTGCAGCAGCAAAGAAAAAAAAAAATAACATCTTAATAAATTTTACTTCACAAAAAATTGGAATTAGAAATTTAGTCGTTGGAGCTTCACGGTATTAATAATTCCAATTCCACCACTAGGCTCAATTTGGAAGGAGTATAAATACAAATATATACAGTACAAAATTATACAAAATACAAGATTTTACACTCTACATATTTGTATTTGTACTCTTTCCAAACTGAGCTTTAGAAGGAGTACAAATACAAATATGTACAGTGCAAATACTTACAAAATAATACAAATTACAAAGTGTTGCACTCTACATATTTGTGTTTGTACTTCTTCCAAACTGAGCCTTAAATCCAAATCCACCCTAAAATTAAAAGAAAAAAAAGGCAAAATCCAAGAAGTTAAATGCTGTATATCTTAAGCAACAGACCTCCCAATTCCTTGAGGCTTCAATGAGATTCAATTTATTAATACCAATGCAGGGACAAGATTTAAACCCTGGTCGCTCAAGTTGCAATTTTCAACTGTTGCACCAAGGCACACCTTCGTCTGAATCAGAGACTGTGAACCCAAAATATAAAAATGGGGCACTACAATTAATTAAGACAACCCAAAATATCTCCAATTTTTTACTTTGGAACCAAAGAGAGTGGTGGAGAATCATTCTGTTCCAACTAAATAACATGGGCCCCCCAATCAAATCAAGTTGGCATTATGAAGTACAGTCCAGAAAGAATAAAATGGGGAAACAACAAATTTAACAACTATGAACAGACCTCAAAACCAATGGACGCTACATAACTAACTGCAATTTCTGGAGCCTAACATGGCTCCAATCAAATAATGAAAAAAATTTAATACCGTTTATTCATTATTTATTCTGAGAGTTTGCATTCTCTTGTCATCATGTATAAATGTACAAATGCTTCAACAGTATAGAGTGTCGAATCAAAGGGGTAAGTTTAATGAATTGATGAGATTATATTTTTGAGAAAGAGTGATGAGATTTTATTCAAAGGTTCAAAGTATCGATACGAATNGAGATTATATTTTTGAGAAAGAGTGATGAGATTTTATTCAAAGGTTCAAAGTATCGATACGAATACGAATCAAAGGGGTAAGTTTAATGAATTGAGCCTGAACATGCGATATGCACTCTTGATATATTCAATGGGCCATGGCAAGGATGGTTCTCTCGGGGTCTACCACAGTATTATCTTAGATTTACTCATTATCTACAAATGCTATTTAGTTGCTTGTGCACTCTTTTTATAATAAAAGCAATTGAAGAACTTTTTGTAGGAAATTGTTCCTTCAACCTACAATCCTTATCTACCCATCCCACTAAAAAAAGCCATTAGCAACTCTCCATCTAATAAAGCCATCTCCTTTTAAGTAAGGTAAGTTACAAGCAAAGAATCCAAATCCCTTCTCCCTCCCAGTATATGCTAAAGGAGGTCAGCTTCATGTGCGCATTTCATTCTTCACTCACACCAAGGTTCAAAATATCGATACTATCAGTGTATTGGGCCATATTTTTTATTTTTTATTTTTTCAAAACTGGTTCAAGGGGGCAGTTTAAGGCTTCTCCACCCCTTAAATCGGTCAGAACCCCAATACATCCCTTGTAGGGGCATATCGGAGAGTCCCAAAATAATACATATTGGCCAATACGGACTGATAGATGTCAGTACTTTGAACCTTGTTTCTCACCAATCTTCCTTTCCCACTTTTTTACCAGGCTTGTAATTTGAAATTCCCTCTCTGGGTTTATTACCATAACGAAGAGAAATTGGGTGGGAATTACATATCCTCGATAAGGATTAATGCGAAAGGACAATGACATGTTTGTTCTATAAATCGGCAACTGTCCAAACATCATTTATTTCGGTTCAATCAGTAATTTGAAATGTTAGCCCACATGTGACTCACACCGTGTGATTGGAATCATCATGGGATCTGACACTGATCACTGATAAAGGACCGTTCTTAGTGGTTATCTACCAGATAGAAGGGGCTACAGTGTTGTGATCCACATAATCAAAGTGGGTTTGATTCCAATCGAACATCTCTGGTAGTGAGATCCACATATATTCATCTACCAAAGATCAGATCTATGATAGCCAACTATGCACGCTACGTGGTCTAGCTTTTCATGGTTACTCTATGCTTTGACAGTTGACTTTCCAAATTCTAACACAACCTTTTTTCATGTGAACGGAGCTAGCTAGTACGCTCCATGTCGCTAATGTGCGCCGGCGGACACATCTAATAATTAAAGAGCTCTTCGCCGTTACCGTGCGCCTCGGAAACTCTGAAAGTTTTCTCGTTTGTGCATTCTCAGCCACGATGTCATGAGTCATCCACATGAGGAACAGGCGAGTCTCATCTTGAAACCGTCCGATCCGAATCTTTTATCTAATCATAGATAGGAAGTTAGGAACCTTAGGATAGTAATTCTCATACTGAAACCGCCGGATTGGAATCTTTTTAACTTAGGAACGGAAATGGCAACCCTCGTGAAGTGAAGAACCACATGAGGCTTACGGGTTGTCGGTCAAAGATTCTAATCCGACGGTTTTAAACTGAGGATAACCCTAGCGGTTTCTTTCCAGATGGTAGCTAATAGCTATCGGGAAACGGGCTTGAGAGAGTGTGTGTACCACTGTACTGTGTAGTTTTCTAGTCGGCGCACCGCGGCGCACATTATCGCCGAGCCTCTCGTAATAGCTCTTGAATTCGTTAGTTTTTCATAAAAAACCTTCCTTGGTCGATTCTCTTTCGTCGAATCTGTCAGTTGCGAGCCTCGAACGGATCATCTACCACCTCTTTGTCCAAATCTCGCAGACACCCACGTCGGTTCTTCACAAATAATCCAAACTCATTCGCGAATCACCGCCGGAATTCCGTTTCTTCGTTCACTTGGACAACGGATCGAGAGGTCTCATACATCTTACGGGAGTAAGCAATCAATTTTATTTTGCATTATTTTCGTGCGTTTCTTCCACTTTCCCTCGTGATTCTCATGTTTGTCGTGCTTAATGCAGTTGTGGAGATGAGCATGAACGCAAATCTCATGGTTCGTTGTGGATTGCTACCATGCACCGTATTGGTACGTCAATAGAGCTGCGGCGAGGGGTTGCGAGGTTTGGGAGATGACGAGCCAGGTGGTGAAAGTTCGGAGAGATACGCTTGCGGCGTGCATGACATGCCCCCTCTGCAATAAGCTATTGAGGGAAGCTACGACTATATCTGAATGCCTTCATACGTGTGAGTCTCTCAGCTCTGTTTCATTATCTTTTCAATCTGGTCCCCATCTGTATATTTTGGTCTCGGTTCTCCGTATTTTGCGTCTTCATGAGCTTGGCTCCTCGTACTTTTCGTTTTTATGATATGGGTTTCTCATATTTTGTGATTTCACGATCTGGATGTTTTGTATTTTGCGCTTCTATGATCTCGTTTCTTCACTCTAGAAATCTGAGGCTTAACTAGAGAAAGAATTAAATATTAGCATAAATACTTTTATTTTGATTGTCAGTAGCTTTCTTATTTTGTTCGAGGACGATTATACCGTTGAATTCAAGATACTGAATTGACGAGTTCCGTGATTTGCTAGTTTTAATGATTGTGGCGGATGTGTTCGGTTAAAGCAATGTGACTTCTGTTTTGTACCTGCTGTTGGATTTCTAAATTTGTAGATTTTAATGTATTAAGGGGATAAGACATTTGATATAAAGTTTCGCCAACTAACAATTGAGCTAATAAGTTCTTCTTTTTCCTCCATTACTGTTGTTTTTTTTTTTCTCTCTTCTTTCAACATTATAGATCAATTATCTACGTAGGTTATGCATGGAATGATCACTTGCAAGTTACCTGCTTTTTTACGTTCAAACATTTTCCTCTAGTTAGTATAGTATTCTCGGATGAGATGGCTTTAGAACCAAACTATTGCTCTAATTGGATTATCTTACTAAAGAGGCTTGAAATCGGAAATTTGGTGGTAAATTTAGTAGTAAGCATCTGATTTTTGTTTCATATGAACGTGTTTTTCCTGAGATGCAGCTAAATAGATATCAATTTGTTCCTTGGGCTCTTGGATAGTCTTGACATGACTAAAATTCACAGATACTGTAAATATTGGGAATGAGTTCCTTAATATGGTAACAACTTAGGTGTTTTTCTCCTTTTTTTTCCTGTTCGTTCTTTCTAGAAATTTTTAATGATTTCAGAGTTTCCAAGTTCCTTTCGAGGCTTCTAGACTTGTGACTCTGGTTTCTGTTTGTAGGATGGATTGATTCTAAAGAACGAGAGGATTTATATTGACCTTTCCTAATTTTGATCCTTAAAACAGACTGAGTTCTTCTTTACTCTGTGACTATTTTGTTGGGGATTTCTTATTGGAACATGTTTCATCTCTTATCAAATTAATGTCCCAAGTATCAAAACTTGTTGACCAAAGATTTGGTTTTTAAGTTTGTTTACAGTTCACTCACTTTGGCTTGTCTAGTTTCTTTTACTTTGTCTTCCATTGTCTAATTGAAGAATTTGGGGCACATTACATACTTTATTTACTGATATTAAAACATGAAGTACCACGTCTCATGGCAGTTATTTACTTCGTAACTTGAATAAGCTGAACATTTAGGACCATCATCTTTCAGTAACAATTTTGACCCTAAACAGGCAGTCTGATTCTTTTGTTTTCTCACTTAAAACCAGTTTGCAGGAAGTGCATATATGAGAAGCTTACAGATGAGGAGGTAGATTGCTGTCCAATATGCAATATTGATCTGGGTTGTGTTCCAGTGGAGAAGCTCAGGTCAAACCCTTAATTTTGACATATTTCTTTGCTTTGTTTTTCTCTTCCTCCCTTCTGTGGAGTTTGCATATTGGCCTACCATTTTATGTATACTTTGAGTTTCTGTGCAATAGATGAAAGTGATCATTATGCTCAAAATGGTTGTTTAGCTGTATAAAATACAATTTCTTATGAATGTGCTTGCTCTAATTTCTCAAAACCCCCAATACGGCAAGCATTGTTTTCAACTTTAGTGTAACTTGATTTTGTTGGACCTTTTGATATGTCCAGTATCAGGCCAACTTTGTT